AAACAAAGCCATATGTGGTTCACCGGACAACACTATGGAGAACCAAATCGATCACATCTGGATCAATAAAAAGTTCAGAAGGATGGTGGAAGGCGTGAGAACAAAGTTAGGAGCTGACATATCTTCAGATCACCACTCAGTTATGGCCAAAATGAAAATGAAGCTAAAGAAACACTGAAAAACTGGGAAAACAGCCTTTTTTGGGATATTGGCAAACTTGATGAATTCAAGATGACCCTCAGAATTCACTTCCAAGCCTTGAATCATCTACCCAATAAAGTAAAAACCAATATGGAGAACAACTGGAATGGGATCAAAAAAGCATTAACTTCATCTTGTCATGTGATTAGATATCAGGAAGTGTGAGAACTATGGACTCATCAACCCACTCGCAATGTCAGGAAATCTTTTCAACATAATGTTAATAAACACAATGAAAGATTAAGTAGACATACAAATCCGAGATTATCGGGCTGGATTCCGTAAAGTTCTACCATGTACCAACCAAATTGACACAACACCAGTCATTATAGAACAATCATTTGAATAGAATTCACCACTGTACATCAACTTCACTGTCTAAGAGGAAACATTCAATGGTGGGGAGAGGATGACATTACGGTGAATCTGAATTCTTATGATGGTTTAATCCGCAAAATTTGCATAGCGGACTAATTTGCTTAAGTGACCAACAGATACATATTACTGTAAAACCATCTTCAGGATGGTTTAAATTAAACGATTTCAACGTCCAATCCAGCATTTCAAGCAAATATTCATAACAGATAGAATTAAACTGACTGATCTTTGGTTTAACTAAACAGTCATGCTTATTCTGATGTTACCAATACAGTTTAAATGTATACAAAGCCATAGTGAAGTTTTGAAGGAAAATAAACTGATACATTCTCCGGAATCGGCAATAAAACGTTATATAAGCTTGAGAAATTTTTAGTACAATGGGAGTTACTTCCAGCGAAAGTTAACTTTCGCCAATAAAATAAATCCATTTTTCGAGATAACAAACTGTCAAGCTAGCTTCTCGATCGAAAAAGACTTATGGAAAGTTATATATATTGGTGGATACTACTTACAAGATAACAGTAGTATAAATTTTACGCAAGATTATTTCTCAATGTACGTGACGAAACTGGTATTTCCTTTATAAATAAATTCGAAACGAATAATGAACAGTATGTTCATTGAAAATAGCTTAGATATCTCTTTATTTTTTATTTCAACAAAAGCAATGGATTTCTATCATTCAGGATGCAAAATTTGTTTACTCAGCTGGTAGCGAATCTAGAAAAAATACTACTTCGCGGTGTAACAAATGGAAGTCCCGTCGTCAATCTAGAAATCAGAAAAACGACGATTCTAGATGAATAAGTGAATTGATGCTAGCCTCATGATAGAGAAATAATATCGAGGCCAGAGGGTACGTGAACGGCTAACGACGAGGCAAGAGAAGCGCTGAGAAGGAAAGTGGATTTATTTTATTGGCGAAAGTTAACTTTCGCTGGAAGTAACTCCCATTGTACTAAAAATTTCTCAAGCTTATATAACGTTTATTGCCGATTCCGGAGAATGTATCAGTTTATTTTCCTTCAAAACTTCACTATGGCTTTGTATACATTTAAACTGTATTGGTAACATCAGAATAAGCATGACTGTTTGGTTAAACCAAAGATCAGTCAGTTTAATTCTATCTGTTATGAATACTTGATTGAAATCGTTTAGTTTAAGCCATCCTGATGAAACATTATAAAAAAACAGTTGAAATAAAAGTGAATTCCTATTATTATTATTATTATTATTATTATTGTTATTATGAGATTGTTTCTATTTATACTGCATCATTATTAATATGTTTTTATTAAGAGAAATAAGTGTTCCATTTTGGAAATCGTCAATCAAGTATTGTGAGACTACAACTAGAATCGTGTAAGTACTGGACTGCTGGCTCCTCCTGGTATGAGACTCCACAACAGTGTACATCTGAGACTACCGCTCTATGGGATCGGACCCCGAATATCTGGTCCCACTCACGAACGCCTAACCTTTAGACTGCTGACACCGGTATTCCAATGTAAAACAACAATCTTTATCACTCTAGAATAAAGAATGTATTTTGTGAAGAAAATAACGATTCAATACTAAAACGATCAGGAACTGATCTAAGTTAGACAATCATTGAAAATTTGGCAGCATGTGATACCCATTTTGTCTTAGTATGAGATTCTTTTAAAGTGAACACCTGACACTCCACTATTGAAAACCTAATCAAGACCTTTTGTCTCACACGTGAACGCCGAGTCTCTAGACCACCGAACCGTCATTCAATGGTGTACAGCTCTAATTTTAATCAATCCATAATGTTTGTCTACATTAGATCAGTTCGTGATATTAATCAAATTCAACACTCTCCGCAACCTTAAACCGACAGTTATTTAATAGTTCAAAGAATAGGGATAAATTAATAATAACTAATTAGATCAGAAGTGATAGTATTATATTTTGTGTTGAATCTTCATGTTCTGATTGAAATATTCTTTTGACTGATTGTTAAATTTGTATAAAAATAAGACACTAAATGTATCTATCTCTTCGGTTGATGATCAAATTAAGATATACTTGTGTATATGCCCTATACTTGATTGATCACGAAGTTGATTTCGTTATGAATATGCTATCAGTTCACGAGATTTCAAAAATTAACACTCTCTATCCCACAGACGCTTGATTTGTGAGAGACATTGACAAACTGAGGGCATTTAAATCTACTCACGTTTTATGTTTTAGATCGTACATGTCAAGAATCACTCTATTAGATATCAAATTATTTCTTTATAACGTAAAATAATACAGTATCGGATAGGAATATGATACACTGTTAGACACGTCAATGTATGAAATGACTAAATTGAAACCTTTTTTAAACAATAGACGAACGATTAACTTCATAACGATAACCATGTAGATGATGAGTGAATGTAGTAGCGAATACAACGATATTAGAAGTCTATTTGTGGACTGTTGTGTGTGTAACAGGTGTCTGTCATATCTAGATTATCCACTAGACACTGACTTCCGAAAATAGGTAAGTTAACATAAATGTTAGATATAAACTCTGACCAACTAGTAGAATATTGTTCTACTGATAGGAAAATATTACTGCTTGAATAAATATATGACCAACACCTGTATTGCCTAATCTGTCGTGGATCTCTTTAGAATGTGACATATTTTTCATACCGAAACTTTAAATTTCCCCAGGAAATATTCTCAGAAAGAAGAGTCAAATAAAATTCTTTGTCGTTTTCTATCCTAACTAAAAACAAACCTTATTCTCAATAGATTTAGATTAGGAATAAAGTTTTGCTGAACGATAGACTAGCGTTTTTGATAGACAAATAAATGCTCATCTCGTTCGGCACCAGTCCATTAGGGCTAATAATTCTTCCAAAGTAAGTCAATTGGTCAGAGTGTTTAACTTGTGTCATTTTTTTCTTTCAAACAAAATCTGCGAAATGGACAATGCTTTACATTTACTAACAAAATACATAAAAGTCTAGCTGATCGTGTTAACGTAAAGCTTTGATTTTCATTGGAATTATTTTTTTACACTTGGGTTCTGTAGTGCTGGACTATTATTTATTTGTTCAGTGACTTCTGCATAATCCTGGTTCATGAATAGACCAAAAGACAATGCAGAATCTCACATTAAAGTTTAGTCATTCAAGCTATCACGCTATATATTAGCACAATAAAATGATAAAAACTGCAGATATTTACTGCGACCAAACAACTGAGAAATCATTATACAAATCTCATCCATCAGTCAATTAAAGTCACATAATTTCCACTCAAAATACGTTAGTTTATTTTCTATTCACTGATAGCTTAAATGACCTAGTAAGAAAACTTTGAACCTATCAAGCTTTTATATTCGTGCAATAGCATTTTTCTGAAATAAAGCGGCGAAACAGTTCAGAAAACATAACATTACCCGAAGATCACACTTACATTACATACAAAAAAACGTATGATTAAGGGGTTAGTTTATCAACAATTAGCTGTAGTGTAGCATTCTTTTTCCATCTCGTTCAAATTTGACATAAACGGATCAGACAGATTAATGTTTTGTCAGCTTAAACAAATAACTATTTTTTTTATCGATTTTCAAATACCAATACCTGTCTCGGATAATTATTTGGTTTTCATAAACAGAATTTTAAAAAAATGATTTTATTTCAAATGAATAAGTGCTTACAAAAACTTAGACTACAATTAAACTACATTACGCGGTTGGAATTATGTAAATACATTTTTGTTGAATAGTGAATGTGTAAGTGAGTCATATGGTCAAGTAACTATTTAAATATGTCTTTGACTTTTAGCATCGTTGTTTTAGGTAGTTAACATATTCCTAAATCTGTAGTTTCGCCTGAAAAAAATAATTTCAAAGAATAAATAGAATTGTTTGTTACGTGATTTGCTTTTTCCCTTTTTAGTCAATAAAACACCATGTAAAATGTACAACTTAAAATGAAATACAATAAAAATAAAGAATAATTGAACATTTTTCCCTAATTCTAAATATCGATTAGTGATGATTTATATAGTGGATGAGAAGGCAATATGTTCGACTGTTTTATTCACTGTTTTCTGTAGACGGCAACCTAAAGTTAATAATAATAATAATAGTAATAATAAGAAAGTAGTTGATATTTATTTCAACAAATGAGTTTAAACTGTAAACATTATTGTTTGAATATTTTGTTTAAAAGAACAAATATTATTGGAAAAGATGAACAATTCACCAAAATCGTATTGAAATTTGTTTTTTCGAACAGAAATTAGATTTTTGCATAAAGATTTAAATAAGAATAATAATTTCGTAGCGTTTAATTCATAGAAAAAATTGAAAAAAAAACGATTACTCAACAAGATAAATTGATTATTAGATTGAATTCAATGGTCAATATTTAAGTTGAATAGGGAAATCAATGTTATGGTCAGCATTTTCGGGAAAAATCATAATTCCAACCAATTAATTCTATATGAATCCGAGTAGAAATTTACAATCACTCTGTGAACTAATCAATAATTTTTTCGATAGAGCATGCTTGAACCAGCTAGTAAAGGCCATACAAAAATGGCTACATAACAAATGATGGTGATTAAAACAAAACAAACAAATAATAATCGATCGGTAATTTTAGCGATCACTTTCCATTCGTATTTGATTAGTTCATGTCTAGTAGTAGTAGTAGTAGTAGTAGTATTAGCAGCTACTTGATTGGTGAAATTCCATTTGTTTACACTAGATAAATCATGAATATTGGAAAGAGTTGTATTTAAATCGTTATTATTATTATTATCACAAAGTATTTTCGATGGTAGATAATGTTTTGATGAATAATTCTGTTGCATAGAATTACAAAATTTATACCCTTCAAGAATTGGATGATTTAATTCAGTACTGTTTATTATTGGAACAGGAACAGCTGATGATGAATTTATTTTTGATGGTGTTGATATTAGATGAGAATGAACTGGATTTGAATGATTTAAAGATTTTTTAACAATAATGTTATGATGATAGACAGGAGGACTAGAAGGAGTTGTATTTGATGAAAATTTCTCTTTTAAATATGGTCGAGAAAAATAATTCTGGCAGATTGATCGAATTTCTTCGGTTAACATTTTGTTTTTGTCAAGCAAATGATTTAACTTGGAAAGAGCTGAGATCTGATGATCGATTTCTAATAGTTTCTTTTCTTGATTTAAATTTGAGGTCAATAGTTTTCCTATCTAAAGTAAAGAGAAAAAATGTGGTAAAAGGTTTTTGAACAAAGTAAAATTTTCACTTCATTTCATGTCATCGGTTGTTTCATTATTGGATAAATGAATAGAACATCTACATCATATTTGGTTTCTAACATCACACTAGTTCATTTCGTCAAGGAATTCTTAATTTTTAAATATATCTTACATCCATCGAACTTCATATGTATAAATGATCTGACTGAAATGTAAAACCGCATTTATTGAATCACATGTCTACTAACTGAATCAAGTAACTTCATTACAAAATAATCACTAATACAGCACTAGTTCACATTTAACTATTAGGTTTTGTGGAACATGATTAAAATCGCCGCCTTAGTCAATCAAATGCTGTGATCATGTGTTTTTTATTCGTCAGTGTATTGAATACACTATTTCAAAGAAAAAGTTCACTTATAATTCAGTGGTTAAAGTTTGAACCTTACAATAGCTGATGTTATGCAGGATATTCGATCAGTCTTTTCTCACTTATTGGCATTCTGACACGTGCATTTTCTCACTAAAGAGAAGGGGTTCAGCTACTCTACTGAACATAAATAAAGGAATACTATCACATCCAACCAATATGTCCGAAATACGACAAAACACGCGACCTGGCTTCCACTCTAATCCAATAATTAACTTCGGTTAAAAGTTGATCACTTGTGTTTGTCTAACTCTTGGAGCCAGTTTACACGCACTGATCAAGTTACTGGATGCTTAGTACAAAAATGAAATAATATTAGTAATTGATTGGTCAATAATCACTGCACTCATTTTCATGTATGTTCATACATTTCAAAAATGCACTAAATGAACTATGTTAAGTGTAGGTGACATGAGTTGTATCACTCTTCACTTTTATCAATTAGTTTAGGCAAATAATTGTTTGGGATGTTAGATCCCCAGAACTCGCTTGATAAATGCCTCATTTTGGATTTCATGTTTGCGAGCATGGGCTAATCAGTTGACCTTGAGATTTCATTTCCAACCAGGAAAATCCTTGGGTGTGATTGGCTGCTGTGTATTTTAGTGTGCTATTTTCGTAACTGTCCCAAGGACGCTTCTATGATGTATAAATAAAGGAGAGTTGTGTGCTTTATTGTATTGTGATTGCTGGGTGTTTGTAGAATATACTTTCTACGCTTACAAAGACTTCTGTCTACAACTTGGGATTCAAGGTAACCTATCTGGACGCTGGTAATTGTCTCGTTTGCATTTATCGACTAAGGTGAACTCGTAATAGCTTCAAGCGTATCTAATGACGAACTTAACAATAATACTACCGGAGTTAGTTTTACATGTTATGAAATCAAACATCATGACTTACTATCGATGATAAACCTGCTGATTCATTTACATCATAACAATTTTCCTTGTAGAATAATTTAAATATTCCCAATTTTGAGATACGACGTAGCCATTTCGGTGCACGTGATAACTTTTCACCTCTGGCATCCAAATTGATAACAATCACACACACAACAACAGATCCAACTGTTATAGACATTACAGAGGTCATATATACTCCTAAATAAATACAATCAAAATGTTGCAAATTCCTTGTAGAAATATATTTTGGCGAAAGATATTTGCATATAAATTCTATACTTTGAACTATCAGTGAAATCATTGGTTATGAAGTATGACAGTATCAACTAAATAAAAGACGATTAGTAGACCTCGAGAACTGTGAAAGAATGAGTAAAAACTTCAACTCATACGCGTATGCAGTATGTGACTTCAGTGTTAATTCATTGATCACATAATTCTCTCCTGTTATAAACACTTACTCCAAATAGTTTCCATGACTCGTTTGAGATATTTTGAAACGTCATACATACACTGACATTTGCCAAACATTAACTGCTTTCGTTTCCAATCACCTATTGTTATACACTGATTCAACAGGAACATCATTTACATTTGTCTTTAAATGTAACCAAAAGCCGAATAGCCTATTGTGAGTGAGAATGACACTCATAAGTGAACAATATTGTTTCCAATTAGGTCTTCATCATCAGGCTTTACTCTAATAAACATGAATATTTATATGCATATAGACAAATCGATGGAACAGTGATGAGCTCATCTTTAGGGTTCCTTCTCTGCTGGTTTGTTTCTTGCAACACTAGGAAATGTATTTGTCAAGGAGGCTATGGACCAGATTGAATTTTTTGCCGTTGCATTGATGATGCCTGCATTACCGTGAATCAACTATCATGCGACATCTTAACCTGTTTCTGCTTCGAAATTAACCTATCTGTTTTTATTTTGTACGAAATTCCTTAAGTGAATTAGAGTATATCTTAAGTAAAAATGGTAGAGTGAGCAATCTGAATGAATACCTAATCAATCCGTTTCTCTACCTTGGTTATGAACACAGCCGGAACTAAATGACTTATTGTTCCTCCCTTTTACGTTTTGATTGTGAAGTATTAAAAATGTGCCATTACATAAGGAATGAGAGTAGTATCATGGTAGTTTACACTTATTTTGGGACTTCAGCCAACAAACTTTAAGGAAAGGATTGTCAATCTGACATGTTAACATGTTATGTTAAGGAGTCCTGAATATACTCAGTTGTAAAAATTATCTTCTTACCAATACTTCAATTATTATTGTTATTATTATTATTATTATTGCAATCACGAAGGCTATCATCAGGAAGGTACAAGTGCTTATTAACAGTTGTCTATGCAAAATACTTCGGCCCCGTTGGTCAGACATCATCAGCACAAGCCTACTGTTGGAAAGAACAAACCAGATTCCAGCAGAGGAAAAAATAAGGAAGAAGCGATGGAAGTGGATTTGATACACACTGAGCAAAGCACCCAACCGCATCATAAAACAAGCCCTCACTTGGAGCCCTCAAGGTCAAAGGAAAAGAGGAAGCCCAAGGAACAGACTATGCCGAGAAATGGAGGCAGACATGAGAAGAATGAACAAAGTCTGAGTAGAACTGGAAAGAGACTCCCAGAACAGAGTAAGCTAGAGAATACTGGTCTGCGGCCTATACTTCATAGGGGGGTAACAGACTTAAATAATTTAGTAAGTAATTATTGCAATCGGATAGATTAAAATTCATGAATAATAACTAATTTTTGATTCCAATCATAAAATTTACAACTCAATTGATTTAATAAATTAACTTATTCCATCGAAAAGGCTAAAAACGATATGTTAATCAGGTTTTTGATAAACAGTTGAGTGGAAAATATGAGACAACTACGTTATAATTAGGATAGATTTCATGATCATTAATTAGCTTCGTAGAAAATTACACAAATAATCACGAGATCGGTATATATATATATATATATATATATATATATATATATATATATATATATATATATATATATATGTATTTTCATTCCAGTGTTCCTAGTTACATTGGAATTCTAACCCAATAATTAGTTATAATACTATAGGTTTCAGGTTTAGACTTAATAATGGACATGTTAAACTAGGCAATTTTTCTGCCACTTCAAAATTTACCTAAAATATGGTTGAGAATGTGCTTGTTTTCTCATGATGTACAAACTGTTTACCCAATAAAACTGTTCTAATCTTATTGGTCAAAATCTGAAAAGATACAGCCCAATGGAAATCAATCTAATATTGTAAATAATTGTACATCATGAATCGGTGACAAAGTTTTTTACTCATGAAACTTAGGAATGACGTATTAGGTACTTACATATTCCTAATTTAATGACATATAATATAGATATCCTTTTGTTAAATACCTAACAATAAAATAACTTCAATGGATTGTTTTATTTAACGCATTATCAGTAAAATAACTGAATTTACAAAAAGAAAGCAAAGTTAAGATAATCGTGATTGGAAATCGTTCACTCACATGACCGAAACACAAGGAAGTTGATCAAACTCACTGAACTTTTGTGAAGTCAGTTAAGTGCATTAAGAATAATTTGTATTTAAGTAGACTATTCAGTGATATACTTTCAAGAAGTTGTAGTCGTATTCAATTGTTTCAGAGAAATATTTAATCAAATGCTGTTAATAATAGTAATCATAAGCTTTTAAAATGAAAGTAAGTTTATTTTGTTGTTGAAACTGTTACAAGCGATTGAGTTTCTTCTATGAAGGTTTCAGATGAAATGCCTGTGTAGTCAAAATGAACCGTAAGTTATACGTTACAACAATTCTAGTTTGATGGTTAATTTATATATATATATATATATATATATATATAAATTAACCATCAAACTAGAATTGTTGTAACGTATAACTTACGGTTCATTTTGACTACACAGGCATTTCATCTGAAACCTTCATAGAAGAAACTCAATCGCTTGTAACAGTTTCAACAACAAAATAAACTTACTTTCATTTTAAAAGCTTATGATTACTATTATTAACAGCATTTGATTAAATATTTCTCTGAAACAATTGAATACGACTACAACTTCTTGAAAGTATATCACTGAATAGTCTACTTAAATACAAATTATTCTTAATGCACTTAACTGACTTCACAAAAGTTCAGTGAGTTTGATCAACTTCCTTGTGTTTCGGTCATGTGAGTGAACGATTTCCAATCACGATTATCTTAACTTTGCTTTCTTTTTGTAAATTCAGTTATTTTACTGATAATGCGTTAAATAAAACAATCCATTGAAGTTATTTTATTGTTAGGTATTTAACAAAAGGATATCTATATTATATGTCATTAAATTAGGAATATGTAAGTACCTAATACGTCATTCCTAAGTTTCATGAGTAAAAAACTTTGTCACCGATTCATGATGTACAATTATTTACAATATTAGATTGATTTCCATTGGGCTGTATCTTTTCAGATTTTGACCAATAAGATTAGAACAGTTTTATTGGGTAAACAGTTTGTACATCATGAGAAAACAAGCACATTCTCAACCATATTTTAGGTAAATTTTGAAGTGGCAGAAAAATTGCCTAGTTTAACATGTCCATTATTAAGTCTAAACCTGAAACCTATAGTATTATAACTAATTATTGGGTTAGAATTCCAATGTAACTAGGAACACTGGAATGAAAATACATATATATATATATATATATATATATATATATATATATATATATATATATATATATATATATACCGATCTCGTGATTATTTGTGTAATTTTCTACGAAGCTAATTAATGATCATGAAATCTATCCTAATTATAACGTAGTTGTCTCATATTTTCCACTCAACTGTTTATCAAAAACCTGATTAACATATCGTTTTTAGCCTTTTCGATGGAATAAGTTAATTTATTAAATCAATTGAGTTGTAAATTTTATGATTGGAATCAAAAATTAGTTATTATTCATGAATTTTAATCTATCCGATTGCAATAATTACTTACTAAATTATTTAAGTCTGTTACCCCCCTATGAAGTATAGGCCGCAGACCAGTATTCTCTAGCTTACTCTGTTCTGGGAGTCTCTTTCCAGTTCTACTCAGACTTTGTTCATTCTTCTCATGTCTGCCTCCATTTCTCGGCATAGTCTGTTCCTTGGGCTTCCTCTTTTCCTTTGACCTTGAGGGCTCCAAGTGAGGGCTTGTTTTATGATGCGGTTGGGTGCTTTGCTCAGTGTGTATCAAATCCACTTCCATCGCTTCTTCCTTATTTTTTCCTCTGCTGGAATCTGGTTTGTTCTTTCCAACAGTAGGCTTGTGCTGATGATGTCTGACCAACGGGGCCGAAGTATTTTGCATAGACAACTGTTAATAAGCACTTGTACCTTCCTGATGATAGCCTTCGTGATTGCAATAATAATAATAATAATAACAATAATAATTGAAGTATTGGTAAGAAGATAATTTTTACAACTGAGTATATTCAGGACTCCTTAACATAACATGTTAACATGTCAGATTGACAATCCTTTCCTTAAAGTTTGTTGGCTGAAGTCCCAAAATAAGTGTAAACTACCATGATACTACTCTCATTCCTTATGTAATGGCACATTTTTAATACTTCACAATCAAAACGTAAAAGGGAGGAACAATAAGTCATTTAGTTCCGGCTGTGTTCATAACCAAGGTAGAGAAACGGATTGATTAGGTATTCATTCAGATTGCTCACTCTACCATTTTTACTTAAGATATACTCTAATTCACTTAAGGAATTTCGTACAAAATAAAAACAGATAGGTTAATTTCGAAGCAGAAACAGGTTAAGATGTCGCATGATAGTTGATTCACGGTAATGCAGGCATCATCAATGCAACGGCAAAAAATTCAATCTGGTCCATAGCCTCCTTGACAAATACATTTCCTAGTGTTGCAAGAAACAAACCAGCAGAGAAGGAACCCTAAAGATGAGCTCATCACTGTTCCATCGATTTGTCTATATGCATATAAATATTCATGTTTATTAGAGTAAAGCCTGATGATGAAGACCTAATTGGAAACAATATTGTTCACTTATGAGTGTCATTCTCACTCACAATAGGCTATTCGGCTTTTGGTTACATTTAAAGACAAATGTAAATGATGTTCCTGTTGAATCAGT